AAAAATATATATATTTTTTTATTCAAATGCAGAAAGCTGTTCATCGCCAACTAAGTTGGCTACAAACAAAAACTGTATTCGGCCAAGGACGGACAAGGTAAAGAAAGATTGACAGTTGAATTTTTCCACAATGGTATGGGTAGACATCACTTCGGCCTGTCTCGAAAAAGCATTTTCACCCAGGCTGGACTAAGCCACAGTTTCTGCTTCCCCCGGGTCTCATCATCACCCTCAAGATGGATCGAAGCCGAGTATTGAAAGCTAAGCAATACAAATTTGGTATGGTCATGCAAGAACTAAATGTTATTAAAAGGTTCTTTTTTAACCATCAGAATATCCTAGTCTAATATAGTTCTTTCTTGTGCTCGGTTCTGCGGAAATGAAAAGCAGTATTTATTCGATTCAAGTCAACTAATATAAAGAGTAAAAATATTACCAAGGTAGCGAGTGTCGCGAACCAGGATTTCAGCACAAGAGAGATCAGAGAAGTGGGATCCATCGGAAAACGATTCGTACACAAGACAGGAACGAATAAACTCGAATTGGCCAAAGGGGCGAGTCAGAGATGGGTGCCGATGAGTCAGGCCGATTCGAGTTGCCTTTTCGGTCCCAATTTGAGACTGTTCACGAGTCGATGGTTGAAAATACTGCTCAAATAGATCGATAACGACGTCCTCCAGATGAAATATGAAGGATATCATCTTGTGCCGAGATTCAAAGGCGGAAACAGCTGAGGAACCATCTAAATTTAATGAAGCGGAAGCATCAGCTTGTTTTTTGAGAGCCTATCCGGAGAGATAAGAAAGGAGATGGAGAGAAAGAATATTAAAAAAACATTCATAAATGAAATAAACGGAAAAATGTAAATTTACATGAATGAGATACAGGTAAGGATCCGCCCCACCTGCATCTCCGTAAATAGCTAGCTTTAGATCAAATTTAAATAGCTAGGTGTCGATTGATAGAGATGATCGACTCTAAGCATTGAAAATGACTAGAGAAATATTTAATGCATGGAATGTCAAAATTAAACGTTTATCTGATGGTGAACGAAAACAAAAATCTGGTTTGACTTTAAACTATACAGCATAGCAGGCATCACTGTAACAACATGAATGGGAATAGGAGAAAGTGAATTATTAAGTTTCGCAATAAATTTTTAAAGCAGAACATAAAACGTAATTAATAAAGTAGTGAAAGTTGAAAAAATACAGCCAAATTGTGCTAAATATAGGTAAGAAAATAGGGCTAAGAGTCCATTAGGATTAGTGGAAATAATTAAAATAAATAAAAAGCTAAAAATTGCAAAATTAAGAATATGACTAAATCCTGTAGATTGTGGTAACGATTCAG